GAACCAGACGCAGGAGGAGCCGGCCGCTGCACTAGGGAAGTTTTCCGACCACCGATCGAGGTAATTTTTCTCCCCCTTACTCGTTTTTCAATGCTGAGTCCGCTTATGGCCAAACTGGAGCCAAACCACCGGCTAATCGGTCGGAAAACCAAGCCGAAGCCCAGCAGCGCCGCCGCGCCTCCCTCTGTTTTTCCCTCTGATGAGGCCCTTCCCGGCCTCCGTTCGATGCAAATTTTATACCACTGTGATCACCATTCTTTTATCTACAGGTTGATCGGAGCCAAATATCAAAACGCAACTCACGTCGGAGGAACCGCCGCACCCGAGAGCACCGCCGTCGGTAAGTTTCGGTTCTTCGTGATTTTTTGGCCCACCGAGGGCCTTGGGGTTGTTTTATCGCAGGAACCGATGCAAATGTGGCCGAATTCGGCCCAAAATGGCCAACCCGAGGCGAATCGCCGCCGCTTGCGGCGGCGCCGTCGCCGGAGCACGGCCGTGCCGGAATTTCGATATTGGCCGAAAGGGGCCCTAGGTCTGATTTGGGATTTTTTGGGTCATGTGCAGGTACCGGTAGTACTTTTTTAGTTTTCCCAAAAAAATTCAGAAAAATTAGGGACAGCCCGTAGGCGCACTGTAGAGTCGATTTCAGACCCCGAAATAAATAAGGACCCCTCACCTTGTTTCCTATCACGGTATTAAAGTTAAATAAATAATTAAATTGTACTTTGTGACTTTATAGATGTATAATTGATTTAGGTTGCTAATGGAGCCCAAGTCTGATACAGTGTTGGTCTGTTATTGTTTGATCTAATTTTCAGTATTAAATGCAGAATGATGTTTGATGTAATTATGTTATGGTCTCGTACCATGAATCATGGTTTCTTTTATTATGGTTGATATTATGATTAATCTGATATTATGTTGTCTTATTTGGTGTCAATTACTAGTTTATATATTGTGTATGATTGGATGATTGAGACCAAAAAAAAGGGCAAAAAGGTTATGTGAATTGATAAGTGGAAAATATGGACAGCCTGAGTAGATATCCTGGGAGATGGTGGAC